TCTTAAAATGAAATGAAATTTAAAGTTATATATGTATGTATGTTTGTTTTTGTTTTTAAAGCAAAAGTTCTTAAAACTGAATTAAAAAAAATAAATAAATAAAAAAGAATTAATTAAAAGAGAAGAAAAAAGTTTGTTGCCCGGAGACTCGAACCTTGGATCTCTTGAATGGCACGACAGTGCTACGCTCACTCGGTCATTGCGACTGTTGAAGCAGCGCGAGCAATATGAACTTGCTCAAGAGCTTTTCACCCTGAAAGTTGGCAGGGAGCTTTTTCTGTAAGACGTTCGTAACAGAATAAACAAAATCTTTCAAACTTACTTGCCTACTGTCTTGCAATTGTCTTGTAAAAGGCCTGCAACTATCTTAGCTAGAATTGCTCTGTTGATGACTATTTGCTCGCAAGTAATAACACAGATTATGGTTAAACAATATTTTTGTTATTCAATACCCAGCGGCTGTAATATCATTCATTAATTCTGTTAGCGAGGTACAATTTAGTTTTAAATTGAAAAATTCTCATAATTTTAAGTCAAAAGTTCTGGGAAACATGTTCCCGTTACTCCTCAGTACATTTACATACATACATATATGTACTTTATGTAGTGCTTTGCTGAAAAGTATTTATTTCCCGAACAAACACCAAAGCAAAAAACAAAAGTAAAAAAACAACATCAACCAATGTGTTGTTTATTAGTGCGCTTGTAAAACTGTACTTAAAAAATATTTACAAAAATGCATACCAATAACTGTATACATACAATGTATTTTTAATGAGCAGAAAAACAAAACACAACACAATAACCTTAAAAAAAAGAGCATGCAAAATTACGTTGAATTATAGCGACTACCGCAGTGCAGAAAGCAAGTAAGTAGTAAACAAAGTATGTAGCTTGATACAATGCGGAACAAAAGTTAGCTTGAAGTTAAATTTAGGTATGCATTGTTTTTTTGTGTTGAGGTCTGAGAACGATTTTTAATTTTTTCTACTGATTCTTCTTGTGCATTATGTGCAATTCATTGAACAAATGTGTACTAAACATTTTCTGTATAACATTTTAACGCCTTACTCCTACAATTAGGCGTCTTTTGTATCATTTTTAGTAGAAATGTTATGAAAGTTAATTAAAAAATAACACTGCTCTCACTGGTCGTCGTTATGATGCGGAGCCTTTATATGCAATCCTTGCTTCTCTTGGTGATTTAAGCTAATCGCACAAAAACTGAAGAAGCCGTTGATTTCCCAACTTCCTAAAGGAAGGATGAGGTCACACTGCAAAGCTAAGTGGTTCCTTATCCGCCTACAATAATCAATAATAAACTTTTGCTTCTACGTGACCTTTTTTACTTTTGTTCAACTCAGAATGAGTCAGTCTGCTTAACTGGTGTCAGAATCATATTTATAACGAAAGAAAGACCATTTTAGACTCATAAATTCTGAGCACTCAGAAATTGTTTAAAGGGAACAAACATTCATAGGCGATAACTAGCCAAAGCTCTAATTTATGTATGGCTGGATAAACCACAATAACTATTTAAGCGGAGATGGAGGGGGTGTACGCAACAATTTACCTAAAAAGAGTACTACGAAGCGCCGTTTCGTCTCCTCACTCCTACGCAAGTTAGCTGCTTTTAAAATACAAGATGAAAGCTATCAGGTTAATGTTAATGCTTACGCGCTTACGAAAGCACCCTCAACTTTTATGCGTTTTAGCACAAAATGCTTTGGTTGCTATAAAAACTGGCCAAAATGTCAACACGGCTAAAATGGCAATGGTTTTCTTTTCTAAGAAAGCGAAAAAGGTCCAGATGCAGCTAATTGCGTTAAATAATTCCACGCAGACTCTCTTAAGACTGGTTTTTACTATGTCACATTTTGACGCCAAAATTTGGCGACATATTTCGACATAACTTATCTCCCTTATCCATACCTTTACCGATGATATTATTGCTCAAAAACTGACAGACAGCCGATTTCGCAGTGCATGTACGCGACTAAAGAACTATCCTGATCCAAATCAATCGATAAACCGCTTTTTGTACCCATTTGATAATGTGTTTTCACTTATTTGACGACAAATGCCACTGAATTTGACATAGTGAAAACCAGGCTTTAGGGGAACTTAAGTATTTGGACACCATTCCGGGCAAAAATTTAAGCTGGAAGTGTAATGTAGAGGAGCGCTATAGAACGGCAATATACTTATACATACATAACTGCCCTATTCACATGTAGGGAAAAAGGTACTTGAAACCCCACATTGTTTACAGGTAGTAGTACTAAGTGTTTTACGTCACATTTTGTCCTAAGGCATTGATTACACATTGATAAAGTGGAGCCATATGAGGTTCGGAGACTACAGAAAATCGTAGTATGTAGCTGCAAACTTTAGTTGCACAAACTACACAATATCGCCTTTTGCACTGAGGAATTATTTCCAAAGTAGGCAAACCACACTCTTATTATGGGTGTCAGGACAAAATGGCATACCAGGTTTAATAACAAACCTAAACAAATAATTTTATCGAACAGGCAAACAGGTGTTGGTCTACAGAGTCCTTGAGTAAGTTCTTCAACAAGTAAAGGTGTTTTTACACGATATGTATTTGCATATGTACATGCCACTTTTTACATATGGAAATGCCAACAACTCGTGTAAAGGCAAATTAGATTTGTTTCTGTACAAAGCAGATGCACGTACATACGAAATAGAAATGTTTCTATTTTAATCTGACACACAGATAGAATCGTGAGTTTAGTTTATTTAATTTTCAAAGAACGTATTTTTAAATAGTTAAATAAAGACTGTGAATTAGACAGACATACGTAATTACATATGTATTGAAAAAGTCACATTTACAGATGCAAATACATGTCGTGTAAGAACACCTTAACCGGGATTATTACAGGTCATTGCTTTATGGCAAGACACACTAACAGAATCGATATGGAGTCAAATAACTTCTGTCGTAGCTGTCGTGATGTAGTAGAACTCGTAGGTGTAGAACATTATCGATGTTACTATGTGTGTGTGATTTTGTGACTTATATCAGAACGGTGAATTGATTTCATTTCTTGGGAAGGGAAAAGGTAAAGAGCCAATATTACGGTGTCACAGGGAACCCAAGACGGCCTAGGTGTGCCCCTTCCAAACACTGAGCTAACCTAACCTAACCTAACTTGATTAAAAAACTTCAACTGTGAATGGTAAAATAGGGACTAAAAATACCTGAAATGTTTCTCACAGTATTGACAGCTGAGCATGCTTAAATTTTTATAACTATTCGTCAACTGACACGACTTACTTTTTGTTCTCAATTCGTACATTTGAATATTTTAACCCTTCAACCGCTAATTCTTTAAAGAAAGGGGTAAGGAATATGCTTTTTTGTAGAATTCAAACTGCTCAAATTTTTTAATAAAGAAATGCTTGCTTAATTTTACTGTCGATTTTCTAATACAAAAGTTTGTAGTCGGTTAATGGGGCACAAAAGTCATACATATTTTCACTGGGCTTTTAATGGAAAAGTGGAAATTTTAACCCACTCTAAAAAATGAAAATGTTCCGGAGCAAAAATCGTATATTGTTAGGGTGACACGCTGTTGGCTGTTCTACTATGTTAGAAAAAACCGTGCAACATATTATCAATATGGCTGCGATTCCATAACCCTTTGAAAAAAAAATATATTTTTGTCCGGCAACGAAATGGGTTAACTTTTAGAAATTTTGTACTGTTAAGTCCTAATCTGAATTTATAATGTAAAGTTGGAATTTTTCGTCTTTCTAAACTCAAAAAAAAAAAAAACAGCTGCAATAAATGTACCAAGATGAATGAAGACACCTGCCCAATTTTGAGTCCTGAATTATTACGTTACTACTAGAATTCAGCAACCTAAAATGTTTGATAATTGGATTCTCTCAGTTTTCGGACAAATTTGTGTTATAGAGTTTTCCAAAAACAAAGAAATATATAAATATTTTATGTGGAGTCCCATCATTTAAAAAATTTGCAATTCAATACTTTGCTAAACTCTTTTGGTTTGATTATTGCATTGGAATGTTGTACGCCTTTGTCTACGCAACTGATTTAATCTAATTTTTAGCTATGTGGCAACAATTTAAACAAAATTTTAATACTCTCATCAGTATCAAAGCCAATCAAAGACAATACATATTTTACATTCTTATTTTATTATGTGAGTTTTTCTGAAAAAAGATTTCTAAATAACCATCTCTTTTATAATCTAATTGAACTATTTTACTTTTATGATAAATTTATTTGAAGTTTTAAGATGAGTGGTAGCTCTGTTGAAAAACAATTCTACTCCCGCAATTGTGTACATACTTAGTATGTATATGTTCTATTAATGAAAACTTTGCCTACTAACGATGTTGTAACTAATATCTAATACATATGATATATTTATTTAGTTAATTTAAAAAAGGTGGTAAGTCTGCTGACAAATATTTTGAATTAAAATGTTCTTAAAAGCCATTGCTTTAAGGTACAGCCGAATTTCAAGATTTTACATATGTATATGACGTGGTAAATTTTTTAAAAATATATCTGTTAAAAATAAATTTCTTAGTAAGCTATCTATTGATTACATGATCAAAATGGCAATATTGTTTTAATAAATTTTAAAGTTGCATAAAGGTGGCAACATTGCTAAATATATTTATCGTTTAAAATGTTTTTGAATATTATTCGCAGGCAAATTTCATTTTTAATTAATAACAAATTGTAATAAATTAAGTGGAAACCCTGTTTTTGGTTGGAAGTATTCTTAAATACTTCTCGTTGGGCATTAAATTTTTTAATATTTCACAATAATAAGCTATTTATTTTATTGGGTTTTTGGGGACCGCGCTGAAAAATATTTTTATATAATTTAGTTATTATTAAGCGATCTACACCTAAAATGCATTTTAAACATTTGTTTTGACTGCATTGATTTTATGAGTCAATAATTTGTATTCCATTTCTTTATTTTCAGACGCATATTTATTACGAATACGCACGCATGTGCCTACCCAATAATAGAAAATAAATATTTATGCATCTCCGTCATGAAATTTTCCAAATAGAACATTTTCAAAGTGCGGTTTTACTCATAAAAGATATGTAAATTCTAGAAATAAATACATTAAATTGTAGTTACAAGAATCCATAACTGTACCGGTACCAATCTTTCGTGAGTCTTTGATATCTATGAGTACAAACATGTACACAAATTTACAAGCAACAACAAAATAATACGAACTACGAAAAGTAGTATCAACTGCAGTAGCGAATGCACAGACGACGTATTTCCATAAATATATTTAGCACAAGTAAATGATTAAAAATATACATATGCGTGCATAGATATGTATTTTCGTAACTATAAAACTCTCAGCGAATTTATATTTAAATGCGTGCCATCACTCCTACGCGTATAAGATTATATTTCGCGGCGTAGAAAATTTCGAAATAAACTAATAAGTGCATTTAATGAAATAATCAAAGCAAAAGCGATCAAAGGACTACGATTACTAAGAACAACTGCATTTATTAAGAAAAACTCCAGTTTGCATTTATGTACAACAATTAGGCCAACGAGTTGGTCAAACGAACAAAATCATTAAAAAAGCTGCCACTAAACTAACGTGGAATGATCGATAAAAATAAAGTTCAACGCCTGCCCGCTATTGCTGACTTATCTAACCAAAAGTACACTTTAAGTTTTGCTATAACCATGGAACGGAATATTTTTGGAACATTACGATCATCTCTGTTACTTTGCTGGCTTGCAGCTCTCGCGCTCCTATTCGCTCAAGTCACCAGAAGTCATGCCATTGTGCCTGAAAGACAGTTGGTGCCATCGAACGGTTTCGTGAAGAATTATCCGCATTACTATGATTACAACTGTTTCACGGATGGCGGTAAGTTTCAATAAATATATTTTATACTTAGTTAGGGTGGTAAATTGAATGTTTTAGTATATATTATATATAGTACGCCTACAACTTACAGACTTTTGCTTATTAAATGGACATGTGAATGATGCGCACCAATACTAATTTCTGGTAGCAAACAAAGCATTGAAACCAAACTTACCACTGTAGAATGAATGCAATGGGTTATAGCCCAGAGGCTGCAATTCGTACTCTCACTTCTAAAATTGAGAAGGCTCTAGGCCAAAAAAAACATAGCTCTTTGTGCCTTCATGGGAATTTCTTGGGGCTCTTGGGTCTCTATTTCTATGGGTCAATAAAGAACGTCTTGCTAAGCAATGGAAAAAGCAAAAAAAAAACAATTCAATGTGTGTTATCCATGCCATTCCCTTGGCGTGCGGCCAATACAGAGTGCTGAGCCTGATTGCATAAAGCTGGTCTGGAATTTACAATATAGTTTTGCTTATGGGAGGAAGATTAAGAAGAGTGTCTACAACTTTACTGAGGGTAAAAGGAAAGGCTTGCTACAATATACACCGAGAAATTTAGTCATCGGCGGGGGTTGAAATATCGCTGCTGTACGCTGGCTAAAGTTCTTTTTTAAAAAAGGTCGTTAAGGAATTTTGCTTTGGTACAGAATACTCCATTAAAAGGGAGGGGTTACGTTAACTTCTTGGTGTTCTGGGAAAAAAACGTGTTTGTTTTGGCCATGGCTAACCATTCTATTGCCTCCTTACGATCTCAAACGGTGTTGGAGTGGGAAGTAAAGTGGCTTTATTTCCTGCTGAGTCTATGACTCTTTCCTTATTTCCAAAATTCCAGCTTGTGGTCTGAACTATAGCTAATAATTCTACGTACATTTTGGAACCGGCAGTGCACATCACGTTCCGCCTCTAGTACTGAAACTAAATGGGCAGAATAACGTATACACCTGTAACCACCCAAGTTGTACCGAGGCATAAAGTCTCGCGTTAGTTGTAAACGCTGTGTTCTTAATGTGAAAGTGTAGGCGAAAACCCTAATTGCAGCCGAATATCTTTAACATTGAAATAGCTATTAAATAGTGAAGATTGTTTTATTTTTTCTTCTACAGATGCACTTCCAGATATCCCAAACATACGAGATTATTCAATTGGGCTGCAAGTTTCCGACCGAGCACTGCATCAAGTAATGAGTCGAATTTTTGCTATCGTTCTACGCGAGAAGCTTAACTATCGGAATATCTCTTTGGTGCCATACAAATATACAACGAATATTTCCATTGATCGATATGAGGAGAACAACTATCGTAACATATTCGAACAACTGAAGTGAGTTTGGAATTTTTACCGAGTAGCTTCCACAATTCATGCACACCGTTTTTCCTTGTACTAGATACTCACCGTATTCCAACATGTCCATGATAAACGTAGCCGTTTGGATGCCAGCATTGGTGCGTTCAATTGTTCCAGACACAATTATTGAGGCGGGCACTTCCATTACACCAGGTCGCTTCGGTTGGTTTGTGCCCAAAAGTCAGGTCGATTTGCCGCTGGAGCTTGCCGCCTATAGTTTGCACTACAGCGTATTTCTCAATCAGTCGCATGCCGACTATGGACGCTATGTAATACCGGAAGAATTAATTGCGAAACTGAGACATGGTAAAAAGTGAGTATGGATTGCATTCAGATTTGGAAAGGTTTTTTTTTGCGTCTGAGGGAAGAAATTTAACTTTCATTACTCAATCAGCTACGAGGAGTACATAAGTCCGAGCTGCCTTGGAAGAACGTGTGTCACCTTGTTGGCCGAACACAAGCCTGATACCGCATTTGTGATGCATCATATTCAAAATACCAGCAGTTTTGTCAATGTGCTCTGGCTAGGCGCAGATTTTCGTGAAACACTAAGATATTTGCACCAAAAATACCAATCTGTGTACAGTTATAAGCGTTTCATAGTACTGCACTGGACACCTTCCATTGTCATCGATGGCGAAATTGAGTTCTATCAAATAACGCTGCCACATTGTGAAGATTTACTTATTCTTCAGTTGACTGCTTGCAAATACGAGCTCACGCCTGTGCTAAAATACTACGACCAGCGGTTGGGCAGAAGTGAAGAGCGTTTGGTGTCTACATTGCGCGAATTTCAAATACACGATCAAATGCTACAACAACTACAATTGAGCGCTAGTTGGAAAAGAAACGGCAAAGATATTGAAGATATCTACAACCACGTAGCCTGCGATTGGTTAAAGTCAAACGAAAGGACTTATACACAATGGCTCAGCACTAAGTCAACTATTAAGTTGTATATTGGCGGCATTTTTCCACTTACCGACTTTAGTCGCGGCCATCAGAATCTGGAGAAGGCTGTTAAGTTAGCAGTTGAAGCCGTAAATCGTAGTCACTTGCTGAAAAACTATAACCTGGATGCGCAAATCCACGACGGCCAATGCAAGCCAGACGAGGTGATGAAGGTATTCATACACTACTTCACCGAACCGCGTGTATTGGGTGTGCTGGGACCCGCTTGCAGCGAAACCGTCGAACCGATAGCAGGCATTTCAAAGCACACAAACATGGCGGTGATCTCTTATTCCGCTGAGGGCGCTACATTTGCAGATCGGCAAGCCTATCCGTACTTCTTTCGCACAATAGGTTCAAATCGGCAATATGAAGATGTCTATATTGAGCTGATGAAAGTTATGGGCTGGAAACGTGTGGCAGCACTGACCGAGGATGGACAAAAGTACACGGAGTACATCTCACACATGGAAGCGGCTATGAAGCAGCATAATTTGGAATTGATAACTAATAAGAAGTTTCTGAGTGATGTGAAATCAGCGGAAATGAATAAGGTAAGGAAGTCGATGTAGAATTGATATTAAACAGGGCGGAAAATAATCAGGTACATACAATTTCTCTTGCAGTACTTGTTGGATCTGAAACAAAAGCATGCAAAAATTATTATTGCGGATATACACAACAGGAATGCAGAGCTGGCGCTTTGCGAGGCCTACAATTTGGGTGTAAGTTGAAATAAAATTATTTTTCCTATTCCCATTTAACACAACAATCGCTTGTCTGTTGGGGCCGAGAAGAAAAACTTTGTCAATTGTATCCCCACTTCACATATTTAAGATATTCAGACTAAGTGTAGACACGTCTGCTTTTGGAAGCTCTTTTACAAAACTCGAAGATATCAGGAAACAGACTTAGGTTATATTTGCGATTCCGCTGACACGAAAGATGACGTGGGTCATTCATCGGCTAGACCAAGTCGTTTGCAGATACCAATGTATCATGAAACCAGATAGTCGTTATTGATGTCAAGTTTCATGGCAGGCAATCACAAAGGAGGTAAATGTTCTACTAAAAATATTTCCTGCAAATATACAGATGATCTCTTAGACCTATATAGATGGATAGATATAATAGAGGTTGTACACTGCGTCTTTGTAGCTATTGTGCCCTCAGAACTCATCACAAGTGTTTGTATTAGGGTCTTCAGCAGTATCATTGACTGTGGGTAGCCTCTGGTCAAAACTCCCTCAGATGGGTTCGTCTCTTTCTGGCGACCGGGTCACATTATACTTGAAAAATGCTAGAATTGGCCATATATACTTTAGACAGTTTTGGAATTTTCTTTGCGTTGTCCCAAATATAGACGATATTGATATTGTTAGAAAGAAAATTTATCCATTATCAAGGTTCCGGTCCCAAATTTTGTATAAAATGAATAATACACAGAAAAAAGCTCTTGAGTTGACGTTGAATTCTGTAGTTTTATTTATAATTATTTTGTTGAAAATAAAAATATGTAGATATAACTAAAAGTTATAGGAGTAAATCTAAAAATCAAAATCCATAAATCTGGTCTTTTATTTGTTGAAAAATAAAAATGTGGCACATTTTTGCACTTTGCGAAATAATGCGATATTGACTGATGGATTAAATAATTTTTTTAATTTTTTGTTAAAACCATCAGATCTGCACCAATCGTTCGATTTTCAAAAATGAGAAGGTACATTAAATGCCTTGCCTTTGAAATATATAATGAAGGACTCATTTCGTAAAAAGAGTTGCAACCTGCTAAAAATTTTATTCAAATTATTAAATAAGTTAAATGTTTTATTAAAATATGGGTATCAATCGAAAGGGGCTTCGAAAGGGTTGATTTCTTAACTACATGTAGAAGGGCTACCACCTGTTTAAAAAATCAAATTCTATTTACGGAATTAGGTGACTGAAATATGTATTACCATATATATGGGGGTCAGACGAAAGAGGTTTAAGGTCATAGCTTGGAAATGTTTTGAAGAGGGTCGCTACCTGGTTGCAAATCGAATTAAATTAAATTGTACACAATTTTTATACATGAAATATTACAATATTCAAACGAAAGAGTTACGGCATCGTATTTGTTATTTTGTTACAGTATGTAAATTGTTAAATTGCCAATGAGTGGTTCTTTTCATATTACTGGACCTTTAAATTAATTTTAAGGTTTCAGGAATTTGTTTATTCTTCACTTATTTTTTGTTAAATATTTTAAATTTGTTCTTTGGTCTGACACCCAAAATCCATTGAATAAATTTAATTTAATTCTTTAAAGACGTGGCAACCCTTATACTTGTAGTTTAGAAGTAAAGAATTTATTAAACAATTTGAATTCAATATTTAACAGGTGGCTACCCTTCTAAAAAAATAAAACCTTACTGCACATCTACAGACTTATCCCTGTAAACTGACACCTACAACAAGAATCCAAATTTTGCACTTCAGAGAAAGTAGGGAAGGTATCAAAAAACAAATTGCATTTGTGAATTCAGCGTCCTCAAATGCACAAGTTTTCATTTAAATCTGCCCATAATTGTATTTTTGCTCACATTTTATATGAAGTCACGTTGGCAAGAAACTGCTGAAATTGAGTCATCAATACGCCTGGGAATTCGTACGGCTCAAACGAACCTATTGATCATCGTACAGACCTGGTGGTGAACAGGTGCCTTGCTATTCTCAGTCATCCCTGGCGGGCAGAATCGGCCGCCGTTCCTTTCTGAATTAGGAGCCACGGTAGCTTCTGGTGTAGCTGCTGTCAGAAAAGTTGTATTGTCATTTGCTTTAAACTAGTTGACGAAGATTCGTCCTTTCCACGTTCCACGTTCCACTTCACTTCGCCCGGTCGAAGAGTTCCCCGCCGTTTTTTCAGAGAGCTAAGGCTTGCTTTTTGACCATTTGGCCGTTCAGGCCTTGGCCTATAGCTCCAGCTTCTCCTGCACTTTATCGAGCTGTTGCTGTTTCCACCACGCGCTTACTATCTTTCCTAGTTCTACTATAGAAGATGACGTAATGAATAAATAACCACTAATGCACAGCATAAATTTCTTTCGGATCAAATACTTAATATTATACTGTTTTAACAGATGACTGCGTACGAGGGCTACGTTTGGTTTTTGCCTTCGTGGATATCTAAAGACTGGAATACGCTTCATAGCAACCACAATTGCACAACAGAGCAACTTCAAAAGGTATGCAGCTTCATTTAAGCCCAATTCTTTCAATCGTGCAAGCTTCATTTAATTTTAATTTCTTCTAGGCGTCTGAGGGACACTTCAGCATAATGCACACTCCTTTTGGAGACCTCGACTCCACTATGCAGGAAAATATAACTGTACGAAAGTGGCTACAATTGCACACCCAAAGCAATGTTACGATGTCCAACTACACCGGATTTGCCTACGATGCCGTGTGGGCTTATGCCCATGCCGCTGCAAGACTTTTGGCTGAGAACGATGATGCTGTGAATAGTTTGCGGTCTAGCAGCGTAGTCGCACGTTTTGTGGAGCTAATATGGCAGACAAATTTCACGGGGCTCTCTGGCCAGATACAGTTTGGACAGGGCGGCTCGCGTATTACTGACTTGGATATAGTTCAGTGGCGGCAGTTGCAATTCGAGCGCGTGGGCAAATTTAAACCGTATGTGGTAGGCGTGGCCAATAATAGACGTGCCGATGGCGGACGCTTGGATTTGTTTGAGAGTAAGGTTGTGTGGCTGTCGGGTGGGCAGCGTCCCACGGATGGCACATACGATTGTAGCTTCGCTGCTTTGGCGAAATTTTTGAATAAGGATTGTGAGAGCGCGGCTTTTACTTTTACAGCTGTGCTGTGTATATTAATTGTGGTGTTCGTTTCGTTGATTTCATTTCTATTCTGGAAAAAACTCTACGATAAGAAACTAAAGCAGTCAGCGAAGATAATGAAGAATTTCGGCATTGATTTGCTTTCGCCGTCGCGCAACAAGGCTAATACGCTGGACAAATGGGAAGTGCCTAAGGAGAATGTTGTACTCAATCGGCGTTTGGGTGAGGGCGCTTTCGGTACGGTATACGGTGGAGAAGCGCAGATCGGTGCTACCGGCTGGACCGCAGTGGCTGTGAAAACACTGAAAGCGGGCGCCTCCACAGAAGATCGCTTAGATTTCCTATCCGAAGCTGAAGCGATGAAACGTTTTAACCACAAGAACATCGTTAAAATGCTCGGTGTATGCTTGCAAACGGAACCGATTTACACAATCATGGAATTCATGCTGTACGGCGATTTGAAGACATATTTGCTGGCGCGCCGCCATTTGCTGAACGAAAAAGTTGCCGAGGAGTCAGATATTTCTTCGAAACGTTTAACTATGTACGCCATGGATGTGGCGCGCGGACTCGCATATCTGGCGAGTCAGAAGTATGTGCACCGGGATTTGGCCTGTCGTAATTGCTTGGTTGATGCGCAACGCGTGGTCAAGATCGGCGACTTCGGCATGGCGCGCTCCACCTATGAGAGTGACTACTATCGATTCAATCGAAAGGGTATGCTGCCTGTGCGCTGGATGGCGCCCGAATCACTGGCGCTTGGCATGTTCACGCCATCCTCTGACGTTTGGGCTTTTGGTGTGGTCTTGTACGAGATCATCACATTCGGTTCTTTCCCCTATCAAGGACTTACTAATAATCAAGCCTTTGAGTATATTAAAAGCGGTAAAACGTTGCAAATTCCGTCTGGTGCTAAGCCGCCCTTAGAGGGCTTGATAAAGGCTTGTTGGAGTCAGGAGTCAAAGAAGCGACCAACTGCGGCCGAAGTTGTCGATTACATTTCCAATTATCCGCGCTTGTTGACGCCATGTCTGGACTTTCCCAGCGCTTCGGTGGAGATGCCAGAAACGGAGAGTGATCAGCTAGAATTGCTGCCCAAACCGCGAAAATGCTCGCCGCTCAAACGGGACTCCAGGCTGGACATTTTGGCGCAAACGTCAACAATGAATCATTTCAACTGCTCGAATGATTTGATTGATGGCATTGACGAGCCCAAGCACACGAATATAGAAATGCCAACAAGCTTTACTTTGGGTGCGAGTATATCGCAGCATAACAACAATAACAACAATAATAATACTATTAACGCGCAAGCCATGTGTTTGGATGCCTGTTCGGCGACGACGCCGGATGGTTATAGCATAATGTCGCCGCTGTTAATGCATCGAGTGAGCGAATGTTCGGATTCCTCGCAAGCGAGACTAATTAAGAAATCCTCTGTAGAGACACTGCAGCAGACAGAATTTTAAAATTATTAGGATAGAAAATTTTCTAATCTCGCGTATAGCGAAAAAGACTACAGTTGGAAAGAGTTTTTTTTTCGTACAATAAGAGATCCAGCTTGACTGAGCGGATATTGCCATTTTCATAATTTAATTTTCATACACATTTGTAAATATGCCGATACATACATATATTCTAGATATAGGTATAGCAAGTACATACTCATAAAATTAAATCATGAATGCCACTATTGCCAACTGAAAACATAAATATACTGATTATATGCAATTAATTATAATAGGTACTTAGTATAACTATGTATATGTACTTCACAATACCTAAAAGGTACGTAAATACATATGTGCACTATAAGTACGGTGACCATATTTATGAGAGCCGAATACGGGACAAAAAATAATTTTGCAAATTTGTTCCACAACAGCTTACAGATCTTAAAGCCTTCTTCAATGAAAAAAAATCATTAAATTTTAGTATAATAAAGTGCAATTTTAAGTTGCTAAGGCTTACTAATAATTTTTGCCAATTTTTTTTTTTTGTTGACGGTTACGCATTTTTTTCATACAAAGTAAGTAAGTTCGACCATTTTTTTAAAAGAGAAGCAAATCAGCAGCCCTTTCCACTCGCACTTTATAATACTTAATTTTAATGAGTTACAAAACTGCAAACCAAATTTTTTTCTAAAGATCCTAATTAAAAAGTTTGAAATTTTGGTGAAACCTTGCAGAATTAATTTTTATAGTTTTTTGCACAAAGTTAAAAATTTGGTATTATATGGTTTTTGTTAGGTAATGAGCTTTACTTTCATAAAATAAACAATAACTAAACTAAGGAAAAATAGTCAAAACTTACTAAAATGTCCAGCCCTAATTTCTATTTTAGTCCCTGTATGTATTCCTCTATTCGAATCACAGGCATTCAGATTAGGAAATAATAACTGTTTATGGAGAAAATTAGTATCATATATGTACCAAACATCTCTTAGAACTCGTTCATAGGCATGCCATTTTAATGAGTTTTGAAGGCGTCGAAATACCGAACACCGAATACGGGACAAATACAGGACATTAAAAGAAATACAGAACATTTGACGTCCCGTATAAAATAAATAAATTACCAGGACAAAGGGTCAAAAAAGAGGCCTGTCCCGTATAATACAGGACGGATGGTCACCGTAACTATAAGGGAAGACAATTTGACCATATATATATATATTTGTATATACCCTGCAAACCATTTTTTCAGAGTATTCTAAGCTGTAGAGAAATTTTAAAGAATTCGTAAAGATCTCATCCGATTTTTGCCGAATTTTCTAAAATGAAATAAACTATGCACACTTCCATTATTTTTTGAAATTTCGGAAGAAAATCGGTAAAGCAATGAAAATAATGCTGCAATGTGAAGAATTTCTTGCAGAATTTTTTCAGAATATTCTTTGTTTTTCGTACAGAAATTTCATGTTAACCACTTCAAACAATTTTCCTTGAAGATTCGTGAAAAAATCGTTACAGAAAGGGAAACTCCTAAAGATTTCGTTAAGATTTCGGAATTTTTGGTTTGCAGGGTATGTACATACATACATACATACATATATTAGAGTGATAAGAAAAACCTAGTTTTCGAAATTTGTGTGCTATGCATCAAAAACTTTGAAAACATCAAGAAAAAACATGTTGCTGAAAATTTGAGAGAA